CCCCCCCCCCCCCCCCCCCCCCCCCCCCCCCCCCCCCCCCCCCCCCCCCCCCAAGAGAAGCCACAAAAAAAAGCATGTGGTTTGTTGCCTGTGAAGCTCAAGGGAGTGAATGCAGGCTTCATGGCGCGAAACCCGACAAGAGCAACGCCCCGGGTATGGATTTACGTGTCAGTCAGGCCCATGCGCTTTGAGCCTGGGATGTATTTCGAATTTTCAGAATTCAGTTTTCAGTTTTCAGTTTTCAGACTCAGACTCAGACTCAGACTTGAGTCCATGTAGCCCAAAAAAGCGTGCAGATGGTTATGCATTTCGTGGACCGTTGTGAGTGGCTGCATCCGTGTAAACGCATTCTACCGCTGCTAGCTACATGCTGTAGCGCTACTATACTCGCACAGACACTCACTCGTCTTACAAGGGAACACAGGGTAATCAATCATATGCTGATGATGAATAGGCTCGCCAGGATTGGGCCTACGAGTACACCGGCCACGCGATGCAGGGCGAAAACATGCAAGGGAAAGGCCGCTCTAGCTTTGCCACATCAGAGCAACAGATGACGATATAGAAGAAAACTGGCGCCATCAGATTTCGGGAGGGGCAAAAGAAAGAAGAAGAAGAAAAGAATGCAAGGGAAAGGGCCGGAGCCGGGCTCAGAAAGCAGGGCCACGGAAGTTGGGAAAGAATGCGGAGTGACAGTTGGTTTAGTCAAGGGCAAACTGGAACCTCTTTTTTTTTTTTTTTTTTTTTTTTTTTTTTTTTTTTTTTTTTTTTTTTTTTTTTTTTTTGGAAATGGATGGGGCCCCCGGTTTTTGGGTGATGGACGGGCTTCTCCGTGGTCCGGCGACAAAGAATACGAATCAGGACAAGGGCTGCTGTGTCTCTTTCTGCGCGTGTGAGGCTTTGATAGGTAATAGGGACGTGTAATGGGAAATCGGGGTACCAATCGATGAGCGCGTACTCGTAAGGAGCAGACGCGAAGATGGGATTACTGTAGAATACGTAGCTGACCTGACCTAGGAGAAGGGGGAGGGAAAAATCCCGAACTCCCGGGATCAGGGTGGTAAGCGTGGGAGAGAGTGCAGATATAAAGTGATGACAAGTTGAAAAAAAAAACAGAAAGCCAAGACAATGGTCATACGGCGGATGCTGCAAGGGTTGTCAAGTTCAAGTTTAAACAAGAGGCTGTGAGTAGAAGAGACACATGAAAGCGAAGATACCAAACAAAACACTTGAAAAGAGAACCCAATCCTGTAACTCTCCCAGCATACTGTAGCGATCGTCAAAAAATGCTTCGGATAACAGGCGTCCCGAACAAGAAAAGGGAAAATTGATCACTCCAATGGATTCTTAGCCAGCCGAGGGATCCTTGACTAGAGGAGTAAGCCGGTGGAGCCGCGCAGTCGGGTTTAAGATGAAGTGCGGCGCTCGGACCACGCAATCAGGATTGAAGGGGAAAAAGAAAAAAAAAAAAAAAAAACTCTTCTAGAATGGCGCTAGAAGGCTAGAAGCCCAAGGAGGGTCCCTTCAAGATTGTCTTGTCTTGTCGCATTCCAGGCATCAGCCACAGAAAAAGAAAAAGAAAAAAAGAGGACAACGAACTGTACAGTGAAGATGGGATCAACAGAGCAGAAGGGGAAGCAGACACGTATATGTCGGTATATGTAGAGTAGAAAGAGGGGAATATAGTTGTAGTAAACATGTGTATCAAAGGACAACTGCACGTAGATGGTATGTTATGTGGTATAACAGACAGCAAGTCTCCTTGATCTGTTCGGCACGTGCCGGGCTGCCTGGAATGGGCTGAGCTGGCTGGCTGGCTGGCTGGCTGGCCCTCTCTCTTAGTCCGTTGGGCTGTCCGGTCGCTACGACCGCGACTTGCGCCTAACCAAGAGCAAACAAGCAAATCACAGAATAAGGGCGCGGGATATTAAAATCGAACTAGTAGGGCTGTTCGTCTCCCGCGAATCTGCGTCCCAACGGTGAGGCTGGCTGGGCGGGTAGCACTGCCGTGATTCGGAGATGCGGCTCATCCACTGTCTCTCCGGTCTCTGACTCTGTCTCTGTCTCACTCTGGCCCTTTTTTTCTTTCTTTCTTTTTTTTCGCGCGACTTTTTCCGTGGCACTCGCTGACGTAGGAAAAGAAAAAAAAGGGTCAAAGGGCCCATGGACAATTGTCCGTCTGTCCCTTGCAAAAAAGACATCGGGGGTGGCTGGAGTTGGACAGTGCGACAGCTACACGTTGATTTCCTGACAGGGGCGCTGGTCGGTATTGTTGGGTGTTCTTTTTTTTTTTTTGTCTTGCCTGATTGGCTTCTTGCCCTCTCTTTTCTGGCTTCCTGCCCGTCAGCTTTCATCATCCTAGCAAACAACGTGCTCTGCTGATCGCGGGTCCTTGGGCAAACAGTCAGAGCATCACCATGACACGCGCTGGGGAGGGATCAGCCTCCGATGCCCTCGTGCTTGTTGGGCCGGGCTCTCCTATGTCACGCTCATGTGTCCTAACAAGCTACCGTAATACGGTACCCGCGAAAATCCCTGTCTCGCCATTCATCCCCGAGCACGGAGGGCACGGCTGTCTGACGCGAAGCTCCTATTCCTGTGCTCGTAGCGTGTATGGATTAGTGCTGTGCTCGTACATGTACGGATAGGTAGTACCAGACCGTATACGGTCGTACGTACCGTACTCACGGGCCTCAGGCCTTCGGACTCTAGAATCAAAGTGCAGATGGAAGCGAGACCGAGCTCCCCGAGCGCCCTGGCTCCAGGGCTTGCGCGTTTCATCGTCTCCACGATTCGGCTCTAAAGATAGGTAACATGAGTGAAGCTGGCTGTCCGTGCTACGGGCCTCCGCCTCCGTACCGAACGGACAAGCCGTCGACTCGATCCATCGTTCGATGGCCCTTCCGGCTCTTTTCGGAGCCCACGAGTCAACCAGCCGCCAGAAACTGCGCCTTTGACGTACGAGTACTCGTACCCGTACTCTATAGTTTCTCACTCTTTTGTTCTCTTGCTTCTTTCTCTTTTTTTCCCTTTTCGAGACAATGCGCGATCCCTGGTGTACGAGTACCCTGTTTGGCTTCGTCCTTGTGCTTTGCCGAGCCCATCTTCTCTCCCCCGTCTCCTCTCTTATTCCTCAAACATGATCCCCTGCAGTTTGCTGCGAGCTGAAAGACTGCAGATCCACAAACCTCAGTGCCCTGGTTGTCGCCATAATGACCGCGGCCTAGTCGAAATCCCATCATCTCCACCCTGGGCTGCGCTGCCCCTGCAAAACTGGGCTGCAAGCTGGACAAGAGCGAGGAAGCTTGGGCAGGCATTTCCAGGGATTGTCCTTACCTGTATGTAGGAGCATACGAGTACCTGGACTTGGAAGTCCCAAATGCAGGAGACCGGCTTTCCAGTTGGCGTTGTCGTTGGTAGTTTGTAGTGCATGTCAGCGGCTGATTTTCCATCGTTCCGTTTCCACGGACATTGCCATCATCGGGCCGGCCGAGATCCGTCTAATACGGAACGCGGCAAGCCCAGCGGGCGGCTGAGTACGCGTGCAATATTGACCAAGACTCGAGGCATCTTCCTTCTTTGTCCCTTGATGTCTGTCTGGCCTCCCCTCCCCTCTGTCGTCCTCAAGCAGGTACTCGGACAGTACTCGTACTTGTACTTGTACATGCTCTCGTACCGGGTCTCTTTTCATCTCTCCACAAAACGACCAATCACGACACTTGCTAGCGGCGTGCTTGCATGGCCTAGCGCATGTGCCTGTTTTGGATGATGCGAATACAGTAGATTGCCGCGACCGCGGAAAAAGCAAACCGCGCGATACAGCATGTATTCGTACAGGGAGATGCTCCTTGTGCAGCAATAACAGCTCGCGGCATTACCCGGGAAAGAGGGATAAAAGGAACATACATGGCCCTGCCCGGGAAAAAAGAAAAGAAAAAAGGAAATTCATCAGTGCGGCCCAGGAAAGGGCGCAGGGAACACTGAGCGATACGGAGAATATTATTTGCTGTGCGGCGCATGGGGCAGCACAGTGCGAGCGCAATCTGTTGCTCTGCTCTGCGTGGTGCAGCACACACGAGCTGGGATTGCCTTCCAGCCGAGGGGATTTCCGTTTTCTTTGCCGTTGGGGTCGTTTCTCTCGTCTCATTTACTGTATATTCTTTTCCTTTTCTTCTTTTCTTTTTTGAATGCGTTGCCTAGTTCCGGAGTACTGTAAGCGGTCTGGTGTCAACATCTAGCACGCATGTACTCGTACACATTGGATGTTAATGTCTCAGGCAACATGAAGCTCTGTCGGCTTGTGGTTGGCTGCATGCTCACCGGGTGGAGCAGCCGCAGCCAGTGCAAGTGAGTGCAAGGACCAGGACTCTTCCAAGCCCCCCCTCGCCAGAAAATTCGTTGCAGCCTTCTTTTTCTTCATGGAAGACTTCCATGGCTTGAGTCAATCTGGGCTCGTACATTAGTGGTCCGTCTGGCACGCTGCACCTGCATGCATGCACCAGCACCTCCGCACTGGCAGCGCGGCTCGGCCACTCAGCGCTCGCCGATGTGCGCTTTGCATCACTGGCAACAGCTCAGAAGCTGCCTCATCCTGGGCAACTGGAGCTACCCTGGCCCGACCTACGTGTTCGAGTTGCTGGTGGTGGTGGTACTGGTACTTGCGCCGGGCAGGGAGGGGATCCCAAGGACGTGCGACTCTGTGCACTCGAGGGTTCCCAACGCTCCAACGCTGCCATTGCTCGTAGCTGCTCGTAAGACGTGTACTTGTAGGGCTGCTCACCGGGGACGGCAAGTACATGTACATTTGATTGATTTGATGGCCAACGAGCACGGGCGGCTTACTTGCAGTGACGCGACTGACAGCTTGGATGGATGGAGAGTTTCCATCCAACAGAACCTAACCTGAACCTGACCTTGCATGTGAGTGAGTGCGAGGACGGCACTCACCCGGCATGTACGAGCATGTACATACATGACTTGTCGCCCGTTGAACTGATTGGATCACGACATGGGATGGTAGCATACCTGCCTGTACTAATCCATTTGATGTACGTGTACAGTACCGGACGGGACAGGACAGGACAGGCACAGACAGATAGATGCAGCACCGCATTAGGCACATGTAGGGAGTTCGAGTACAAGGTAATATTACGGGTGCAAGTGAGAGTGTGAGCGAGAGTGCGAGTACATGTACAGTACCAGCAGAGACGGGAGATATGGGTACAACCCAAGGGTACAGGTACTGACTGGGCTGGGAACAAAGCTGCACTGCACGGAATAGGGCTCGGCACCCGACCTGGCCTTATATCGATGCCTTTCCTCCTGTTCCCTCCCGTCCCCATTGGCGTTGCCCTGATTACCCGCCTCAACTCATCGCCAGCATCACCAGCATCAGCATCCGCGGCTGTCAAGCCATGGCGTCGTCGAGCAGCTTCCCTTGCCCATGATCCTCGCCTGCCTCGACCGAGCCTCGCTTCTCTTCACTCCTCCTTACCTCGACTGCCTCTGCCCTACATCGACGTTGCCTTGCGGATTTTGTCTCAAGCTCTCTTGCCTACCTGGCCACTGACCTAACCTAAGCTACTATCCTTGACTCTGTTTTGCGCCGTCTCGTCTTACGCTGCCACCCCCTCGCTCCAAAAAGCGAATCCAGATCCAAAAGCAGACGAGACCCAACGCCCTCCCTCGCCCTCAGTCGCAGCGCGCGTGTTGGCGCTTTGAACCATTGCCAACTCGCTTCGCCCTTGGCTCGCCTGCCACTCGCAAACTCGATCCGTCTTCGCTTGTGCCAATTGTTGCTCTGCTCTGCCTCTTGTCGCTCTGCTGCCCTCGCGCCGATCCTTCTCGCACGGCTGACGTCTTGCCCCTCCGCCAGACTCGACACTAGCAGCCCAAGCCTGCATCTTGCGCCCCCCCAGTCGTGCCCAGAATCTTTCCGGCGACCAGAACGTCCACCCAAGGCCTTGCAGGGCGAGACACGAACTAGAAGCGCCGCTAGACGCTCGCTGCTCTCCACTGCTGCGTCCGCTAGGCCCAGCGCTCTACTGTAGCAGCCCGCACGCACCGAAGCCCAGCGACCACAGCAGCCACATCCCGCCACCGCGCACCATCTGACTCCCCCGGGCTTCAGTGCCATCCCCCCCCCAAGGCCCCGAAAGAGGCCCTAGAGGGCACCTAAAGCACCCAAACGACCCCCCCCCTCTGGACCCGCCCGCGTGCGCCAAGCGTCTAAGACTCAAGAGCCACCCTTCTTGTGCGACTCCAGAAGTCGCCTTCGACTCTTCTCTGCTTGTTCCGCGAGCTGCGGCTGCGTCTTGCGTCCTTGGACCAACTACCGTCCACTCTACTTTTCCTTTGCTTCAAGACTTGTCCCAAAACCTGCCCGGACACACACTTGGCTGTTGTGTGTGCCTGCAGGGAGCACCCTCTCTTGTTTTCTCGATTTCTTCCCTTTTCTTCCCTTTAAACCCCATTTGATCCTATCCTCTTGTCGTCGCCGGAATCAACTCAACTCGACGGATTGCTCCTCATTCCGCGCCGCCGCCGCCATTGACTTTCTTCGACTCGTTCCTTATCCTCCTTTGCCAATTTTTCTGGGCGCTTCCTCTGAGCAAGTGTCCCGCAAACATCGTCGCCTCGGCCGCCCTGTCGCATCACCCATCACAACAACGCTTTCCTTTTGATTCTTCTCCCCTTCGAAACCCGCGCGCGCCCGAAGACGCACCAAGCTCTAGCCTCACTCTCCTAACTTCTTCTTTGGCGTCAATTCTTCCCGTGTGCGGCCTTTGACTCGCTACTCGCTCCGCGCTCCTGCTTGACGCTGGCTCAACAAAGGTCCAAAACTCCGAGACACCCTCAGCTCGAATTGTCCAGTCGCCTTGTGCCTCCCATATAGCCTTGCGCGCGGTAATCCTTGCCCGTGTGGCCAACGTGCTCCAGTCGCGAGACTGGTAGCCTTCCGTTGCCCACCATGGATAGTCTCACTTGCCATGTCATTTACGTCAATCGCACCGTTGGAGAGGCCCGGCTGCTGCGCGCCGTACCTGACGATTCCGCGGCCTCGCCGACAGGCGCTACCCCCGATTGGCGGCGCGATCGCGTTCGACAACTCGTCCAGCCTCTCCTCGACACTTTTGGTGACGGTTTGTTTTTTCTCTTCCTTGTCTCCCTCCCTCGGCCACCCGTCGCTCCTTGCTGACTCACGGTACCGCACATATAGTTCATGTCTGTGCCACCGGCGCCGCCTGCATGGACAAGTTGATGCAGCTTCACGAAGCCGGGTCCATGATGGACATGACACCAACCATGGTTCTTCTAGACACGCCCCATGATGAATGGATACCCGAGTCCTATTCCCTTCCCAACTCTTCCTCTACCGACCCCAACCTGGTCAACCGCGACGCCGAGATTCACACACCCGACGAGAACCTCTACGGCCTCACGCTCCTCCAGAGGCTCATCACCGAGGCCCACCTGCGAAGCATTTCCAAGCTCGTCGTCCCCATCCCTATCATCAGCTATCCAGAGACTCGCGAACAAATGACCGACGGCACGACCGAGCCCTTGCCGGCTCAACCCGTCAGTCGTAAGCTCATAAGGAGGTGCTTGGACCTTGGCGCCGTCGACGTGATAATCAGCCCCCTGGGCCCCAAATGTATCGCAACGCTGGAAATATGCGCTTATAAGGCCCATAGGGACGCCGCTAGGGACCAGCAGGCAATGATGGAGATTACAAAGGGCCGCAAGCGATCGTGGGTTGGCGTCAACGAGCAGAAGCCCTTTGCCTACCTCCGAGAGGCAATGGTCTCTGGCCTCATGAAGGGAATCTGCCGTCTCTCTTCCGAAGACGACAACTTCACCGGTGCCCACATTGCCGTTTCGTCTGAGCGCCAGGCCATCATCGCCGAGGCCGTCGGGCGTTGGCATTTCGATGCCCACGAATTCTCCGATGACGAGCTGTTGGTGGCTGCGATGCAGATGTTTAAGCATGCCCTGACTTCACCGGAACTCGAGGGGTGGCGGATACCAGCAGGTGAGTGTGCGCGAGTGAGCCCGTCTTTCTCCGGCGGTGCTAAGACAATAAGCAACCCCCCTCCTCCTTGACAATGCATGCATCCGTTCGGCCGCTGGAATTGATCCTGACCAATAATCTCAGACCAGCTCATTAGCTTCCTTGTCGCATGCCGCGCTGCATACAATAGCTTCGTTCCCTACCATAATTTTCGTCACGTGGTGGACGTTCTTCAAGCAACCTTCAATTTCCTCGTCCACATTGGCGCGTTCCCTCCGTACCCGACATGGTCTCAGCCGAGATTCAAGGCGCCCAAGTCGCCAATCGCCTCGCTCGTCAGCCCCTACGAAGCACTGACCCTCCTCATCACGGCCATTGGCCATGACGTGGGCCACCCCGGAGTCAACAATGGCTTTCTCACCACCTTGAACGCCCCGCTAGCGCAGCTGTACAATGACCGATCTGTCCTAGAGTCGTTCCATTGCGCTGCCTTTTCGCAGATCCTTCGCAGGTATTGGCCCGCGGTATTCGAAGACAGGAAGATGCGCGGCTTGATGATTAGCTCCATCTTGGCCACAGACATGGGCCTCCATTTCGACTACATGAAGAAGATGGCGACGCTCAAGGAAAATTTCAAGTCTGACAGCAATCCTGCAAATTGGAATGGGCGCCAACTTGAAGATGCCAAGGTTCTCGCATGTTCGCTCCTTATTAAGTGCGCAGACATTAGCAACGTGGTATGTACTGTAATAAAATGGGGGGAAGAGAGGAGAAGAGGAAAAGCCCACCCAAAGGAGTCCATCCATACGACATTTTTCTCCCTCTCACACATCGTGGTCTTTAGAACCATATATTGAGCATTGCTGACTCCTTCATAGGCACGCCGTCAATCAACAGCACTGAAATGGATGCATATGCTCTCGGAGGAGTTTTCAAGACAAGCCTCAATGGAGGACGAACTCGAGATCAAGTCGTCTTTGATGTCCCCCCCGAAAAAGGACATTTTGTCCCTCTCCAACGCCCAGCTTGGGTTCATGAACATGTTCGCCATACCACTGTTCCAAGGCGTGGCTGAAATAATGCCAGGCATGGAATACACCGTCAAGGAGCTCCACACCAACAAGAAATTCTTTGAAGAAAAGGTGAAGGAGGAACAGGCCAAGGCGGCGGAAGCGGCCAGTGACAAGGTCCGGCACCGGCGAACGAGAAGCTTTCCGATCGAAAATGACAGCGAAATGAAGAGCGTCGAGATTTCGCCCGCACCGAGTCCCTCGACGGCCAAGTCTGGCCACGACCCCCACACCCCTGTCGAACATCCGGATGTCAACGGCATGGCCTTTGGGGTCCCTTCGTCTTTTGACGCCGCGGATGGGGATCCTTTCACCTGCCACCGGCCAGACGAGTCTATAGAAGGCAAGTTGCTATCGACAAAACAGCGGACGAGCGAGACCACCGAAGGCAGTTTATCCGCTGGTTATCCCGCGGACTGGGCTTCGCAGGCAGCGAGTACGGCCACCGGCAAGATGACTCTGTCACCCAGCACGCAGGGCACCAGCATCGTCAGCAACGAATCTGGAGAGCGAACCCTCGGCGTCCCTGCGTTTAACATGTCGCCTCTCAGCCTCAAGGGAACCCCAACGTCACCACGCCGGGAACGAGAACGAGAAATGGCGCAAGGAGACGAGGATCCACACCTCGGAGGCAGCATAGGCAGAGCCGAAGGCAAGGCACTTAAGAAACGGCCAAGCAGGTTTCGAATGAAGGACTTTCCCTTCTTTAAGAGAAGCAAGGGATCAAGTCCTCCATTCCCGACCGCTGACACGTCTGGTTGAAGGGCGTCAAGTTAGCATTTCTGCAACAGGCTGCGAGCAAACCAAAAGACACCGGAGAGACAACTTGCGACAAGGAAGCAATATACACCACTGCCACGCGGGACGAAACTCCCCGCGACGCGGCTACGATTATGGCCCTATGATTTACGAATGCGATTGTGCGAATAGCCCTTTTTATGCGGGTCACGGCCACGTTATGATGTGCCTTTTTCTTCACGGATCGCGGGAAATCATTCGGTCGGTTCATGGATGGCGTTGGATCCTACAAGTCGGTCACATCTTGCCACTTTGATGTTGCGCTATGATGCCTGCCGAACGGATTTGACGGGAAGACAGAATAATAGAAACACACAACAACAAAAAAAAAGTCCAGCATTGGGTTCCAGAATCCAGACGGAAAAAAACACGCACACACTTCTTTTTTTTTTTCATATATATAACCTGTATACCTAACACACTTATATACTTGGGAGGGAGGGGAACGGCGATAAGTATATACCCTTGGGACTAGGCAGCCTACTGAGGTCAGGATGTCGTGGGATTGACTCTTTCTTTTTATTTTCCTGTGTCACACTATTACACTCACTACCTTTCCTTTCTCCATCTTCTCCATCTCCTTCTTCTACTCCTTTTTCTCCATCTTCCTTTTTTTTTATCTCTTTGCGTTTTCTTCTCTTCTTTTGGGTTCAGGGCTTGCTATGGTGTACCAAGACATGTATGAACAGGAGAGGAGGATTAAGACAACCGGGGAGGGCGTTATTACGGTAGGATTGCATAGGACTCTAGAGAAAGGCTGCAAGGTTCGAGAGGGCAAATGGGTGAGCTCATGGTAGCAAAGACGAAGACACGGCATCGTGTCTGGACTCCCAGATGCACAGGCAACCATGTTTTGGTGCACAGCCCCGAGTTGAATACAGGTTACCCCGGCGAAAAGCGGGCATTTGAAGCTGATTCTGATTCTTGGCGATGGACAGCTCGATTGGCTTCGAGCGAAACAACGAAGTGATGCGGTCCTTGTCTTGTATGACTGCCCGGTTGCCGATCCAGTCTGGCCGGGAGGCATGTTTTGTTCATCTCCCTGCATATCGGGCATGTGGCCATTGTTGAAATAGATGATATCTAAAAGAGAAAAAAAAAACGAATTCATTCTTGCACTTATACCTACCTATGTGACCATGCGCGCATGAGAGATTGATTGGATGCCGTGGAGCATTGCAAATGGGTAAAGACGCGAGGATGCAGATGCAAATGCAGTGTTTTTGATCAACTGATTAGTCTCCGCATGGAGGAGAATATGGGTCTGTGAGGCATATGCCGAGGCACGAGCACGGCATATTCGTGCATCCGACATTGAACCAAGGGGGGAAGAGCGGGAGCTGGAGCTCTGATTCATGGGCCGTCCGGGGACTTGAGAATATCCTTGTTGACTATGCTTGTTGTGGTGTGTTTCCGAGCCAGATGGACGGCACGGCACATGCAGGTTTTTCTTTCGTCTTTGCTCGGAGGGGGGCTGGATCTGTGGTTTCCGGAAGAAGAGATGTCTGTCGCTTGATAACTGATATTATTTGACGGAGATTTAGATTCCAGTATGGGCATGTTAAGGTCTATCGTGTCCGATCCTTTTTTATATGACGAGGACAAGGTATAACTCGAGGGGCTGTTTTGATAAGATGACTCGCAAGGCAAGTTGATGCTCTCGAGTACAACAGTTTGATGTTGGGCACATGTCCTAACCATTACTCGCAACATGCAGCAAACGGGTAGCCGATCCAACAACCTGCTCGACTCCGCACCGGCTATGCGACAGCCGTAAACGCGCAGAGAGTTAGAATCATCCAAGCTGAAAAACCATTACCCAATTCGGAAAACAACACAGGAAGAATGAGGGGGAGAAGATGCCGCTACCTGGGCCGCTAGTCATGGCCTTGCCTTGCGCAAAGTAAACGCGGCGTCGGCCACCCGCGGAAAGCTACTTTGCCGTTTACCTTTGCATCATGTTCCCCGTCCTTATAACCTAGTAGTACCGTTACCGAGCAAAAGAGGAGAAAAACAACAAAAAAATCCTGGAAAAAGTTGGCTGGGCGTTTTGGGGGGTTATAAAGCGGATCAAGGCCCGCTGCCCACAGTTTCCCGTCTTCAAACCCCTGGCGCGCGCGCGACTGATATTCTGACGTGGACTGTTTAACTTTATGGTTGTTTTCTAGATCAAGTTTCTCCACAACCTTTTTCTTTTCTTCTCCCTTGTTCAAAGGTTCTTGCGATTCGTTGTTGTGTTGTGGCTTGTTCTGTCGTGTGACTGTCAGTTCAAGCGAGTACACGGACTAAGTCGAATGACTTTAAACGAGACTCCAGCTGTGAAGCATACTTCATGACGCCGGTTTGAGCTGCAATTGGCAACCAAGGGCAAGGGAGATATACACTCCATCAAGAGAGCCGCAAAGCTTCATCAAGAGCGGTGCCCACCATTTCCGCTGCCGTTGTAACACGCGGATGAGTGATCCAGCGGCAGGGCGCATTGTTTGCTGCAAGTCTCACTTGTACGACTCTCTCTCTCTCTCGGGCTTCCCACCACGATCTCTCCACTATATGAACAACTATTAGGACGAACTTGAGAGAAGACCAAAACTAACACAAAAGGCAGACAAACTCACCAACTAATTCATCGTCCCTTTCTAAATTGAAAAAAAAAAAAAAAAAGACAACAACGACATCGCCCAAACCATGGCAACTCCAGTTCCCCAGGCCCCCGTGGCCGTCCCTCTTCCCCCTACTCCTTCCAGCGACTTCATGACCGAGGCCCAATGGGACATCCTATGGGCACTCTTGGACGGTGCAATGCCGTCCTACGTCCCGGCATCTGCAGTCACGGACAAGGAGACTCAGGTTGCCATCCCGGACGCCGAGTTCGATGGCATCGTCGATGGCATCACCAACTCGCTCGACGGCGCCCCGGGCAAAGAGGAAATTGCAGAGTTTCTCGCCTTCCGGCCGGTCGACCATCCGCCGTTCCGGGACGACTGCATACGCAACTTGGCTGCGTCACCGGCAAAAGAAAAGCTTGCAAAGGCCATTGGGTTATTAGGGTGAGTTCTGGTCCATGTAGTCGCCATCGGCATGGAAATGAGAGAAAAGATGCATGTGTAATCAGGTTCGCCAGACAGACTGACTCGATGCTATACTAGGACTCGCGCTGGAAGTCTCTTGTTGACTGGTCACTGGAGCCCCATCACCCAGCAGCCCTCCAGTGTGCGAGAGGCCATCCTCAAGTCTTGGACAACCGCGAGGCTTCAGTCGCTCAGGGGGTTGGCAAAGGCCCTCGCCGCCCTGGCCAACAAGGCAAACGGCACAACAAACCCCTACTTCAAGAAGCTCTCCGGCTACTCAGACGCCCCAGCGGACTGGAAACCCGTGCAGGGATTCGACTTCAACTTCATCCAGCTGCAGCCCGGAGACGACGTGCACGAAATCACCACCGACGTCGTCATCGTCGGCTCCGGCCCAGGAGGAGGTGTCTGCGCAAAGAACCTAGCCGAGGCAGGGCACAAGGTCCTCGTCGTCGACAAGGGCTATCATTTCCCTCCCTCCCTCCTCCCCATGCCGCAAATGGCCGCCCTCAACCACCTCTACGACCACGGCGGCGCCTACGTCAGCGAAGACGCGAGCACCGCAATCACGGCCGCCAGCTGCTGGGGCGGCGGCGGCACCATCAACTGGAGCGTGTGCTTCAAGCTCCAAGACTTTGTCCGCAAGGAATGGGCCGACGAGGGCCTTGCGCTCTTCACGTCCCCCGAGTTCGACGAGTGTATGGACCGGGTCTGGGACTTCATCGGCGCGGGAACGGACGCTATCCGCCACAACTTCCGCAACAGCATACTGCTCGATGGATGTAACAAGCTGGGCTGGCACGGAGGCGCTGCTCCTCAGAATACGGCCAATAAGGAGCACTATTGTGGCCATTGCCATCTGGGCTGCGGATTGGGAGAGAAGAGGGGGCCAACGGTCGCCTGGCTGCCCGCTGCGGCTGACGCAGGCGCCGAGTTCATGGAGGGCTTCGCCGTCGACAAGGTGCTGTTTGACGAAGACGGCACGACAGCGACTGGCGTTGAAGGTTTGTGGGTAGCGAGAGATGCCGACGGTGGCGTCGACAAGGACGTTGGACAGCGTACGCAGCGAAAGGTTGTCATCAAGGCAAAGAAGGTCATTGTGTCCGCCGGCACGTTCTGGAGCCCCGTCATTTTGATGAAGAGCGGCATCCAAGTAAGTTTCACGTCAATCCCAGTTGCGTCTTTCATCACATCCCTTCCCATCTCTGCTCATTGTGGGAGATGTCTTGTGAAACCACACTCGCTGACATGCACGGCTCGCCCCCCTCCTTGTTTTAGAATCCGCAAATCGGACAGAATCTTCATCTACATCCAGTCAACTGCTTGATAGCAGTGCATAGGGAAGAAACTCGACCATGGGAGGGTGGTATCATTACAGCCTGGAGCGGCGAGTTTGAAAACCTCGACGGCAAAGGACACGGAGCAAAGTTGGAACCCTTATGCATGGTGGTAAGTAGCCAACCAGCCAGCGAAATTGGAGGGGAAAAGCCACCTTCGGATGGTTTTCCAAGTCTGGACACTTGACTGACTCATGGAACTCTAGCCATACATCACGTTTGCACTGCAATATTGGAACGGAGGCCTTGACACCAAGCTTCTCACCATGAGGTATCGCCATCTTAGCAGCTTCATCTCGCTTGCCCGTGACCGAGACTCGGGCCGCGTATTTGTCGACCCTGAGACCGGGGGCCCGCGCATTGAATACACGACTTCTGATTTCGACCGCGAGAACAACCTGGAGGGGATCATTGGCCTAGCCAAGATTGCCTATGTCGGTGGCGCAACGGAGATTCGAGTGCATTACCCCGGCGTGCCGCCGTTCCTGCCCAATGCCGCGGAGCAGGAGAAGCACGTCCAAGACAAAGATCCCGAGTTCACAGACGCTGCTTTCGGCAAGTGGCTACAGCAACTCCGCACTTTGAGTAACAAGCCTCCCCTGACTGCCTTTGGTTCAGCGCACCAGATGGGAACGTGCCGGATGAGCGCCACCCAGGAATCGGGCGTGGTGGACGCCAAGGGAAGCGTCTGGGGGACCAAGAACTTGTACGTTGCAGACTCTAGCGTGTTCCCGAGCGCGAGCGGCGTCAACCCCATGGTGACCGTCATGTCCATTGCCGACTGGATTTCGCGGGGTGTCTCTAAGGAGCTGTAGGGGACAAGAGGCGAGGAGCTTCGGCCCTTTGATGGAGGTATCTATTGGATAGATTTGCCAAATTCCGTGTCCACACCATGAGCAGAGAAGCAGGGGCGATTGGATGGAAATATCACTGTTTCACCTTTTGGGCCTATAGGAATGAGATTCAAGCGCTCTCGGTGGCCGGGGACGCATAAGGAAAGGATTCAGAGGCCCAGATTTGATAGCTCGCCTTACTAAAAGGAAGAATGGAAAGCCACTCGTACGAGTACACCGGCCTCGACTGCAGGAGCGGGCTCGTCGTCTTTGTTGAGGTCATGTTTCCTCCGCCAAACACCTAGGCGTGGCGTGTCCATGGCGGCCCTGTCCTGCCGTGCCCTGCCATGGCATGCTGGTATTTGGGCACGAATGAGTCAAGGCCAAGATGCAGCTGCTGTTGTTGCCAGACATGACCCTGTTCTTCGGGCACCGTTCGGCATACATGTCCATCCATAGGTAGGTAAGATGGTAGACCTGCTACAAGACATCTGTCCACATGACCCAACGGTCACGAGAGCATTGAGCGTCATTTCCCTTCTTCTTCACCCGCGGCATTGTGTAACAAAGCAGCAAAAGAAACTTCCATTCATGCCAGCCATTGGGCCTCGTGATTGCTGGGCTGGGATGGTCACCGAGGCAAAGGGAGAAAAAAAGAGCCATGTCAGAATATGGCATCATGGCGAGAAGCTCCGACTAACGGCGACGACGTCATAGAGTGCCAAGAATAAAATCAACAAGGGCATCAAATTTTTAAACGCCGGTTAGAAGGGGGTTAAACTTTGACCCTGGCTCGTTAGGTATTGATGTAAGGGCAATATTCCGAAAACTTTTTTTTTAGTCCGTGTCCTTTTTTCGTTTTCCCAAGGGGTTACGGATGACAAGGGATCGATTGTGTGTTGTTGTAGCACTTTCGTGGCGACTTGGTGACGAAGTCACGTCCAGCAGAAACTGTGGCGAGCCGGTACCTCCTGAGCCGGTTCTGTGGCGCGTGGAGCTCCTGAGGCTTGGTTGCCTCCCGTGCGGGAATCGCGCGCGTTACATAAGCATCTGATGCCAGGCTGGCAGATCTGTGTGGGGTTAGCCACAGTTCGCAAGGCAGACACAGCCACGACAGTCGAGTCTGCCGCGCCACGTTATTGATAGCGGGCATACCGAGGGGCAGGGCATCGACCTCCAACTGGCAAAAATGGTGCACAACAAGCTCTGAGCCCAAGATGCATGAAGACGTCAGGGGCCGGAAACAAGGTCGTGCAGTAGCCCATGACGGTATATGCAGCTCTTTCAGCTGCCCATGGGTTTTGGCATGGCTGCTGGCCAAGGGGAGGGGGGGCGTCGGGTCTGGTCTGTTGCGAGATGTGGCCATCTCGTCTTGTCTTGTCTGGCCGGATGGCTGCATGCGGCAGATGAGACAATCAATATTTCTTGATAGGGACAGGACGGATTTGTCACAGTACCAACAATGCGCACGGTTAGGACTCGTACTACCAAGGCTAGCAGTTAGTACCTTAGGTAAATGGAAAAGGGACCTGACATGCGGTATGGGATGCCCACCTCGGTCGTCTTCCAATTGTTGGTAGCACAAGAAAAAAAATTCCTTTCCCATGTGAGAATATTGGTTTACAGTACATCCAAAATCTTGGCATGCACCTGTACGATATGCAACCCTTTCGCGAGCCACGCCAATTCCAATGGGCCAGCGTATCGTAAACCCTTGCTTTTCTCCTTTGGATACGAGTCGCTGGCTCTCGTCGATCGGTGAAAAAGACCCGTTGGCGTGGGGTCCACAAAGAGCCTCTCTATCCGGGGACAGGCTCCAGGGTGAGATTTCTCCAGTGATTTGGTTCTCGGCTATCCAAGCCCTGCATAGAGTTCACCGGTAGGCTCATTGTTTCCCAGCTACAAGCATCAAGGCGTTTGTTGAGATGCACGCTGTCGTTGTACAAGTTGACAACCCAAACTCCCCGAGACGTGGGGTTCCGGCTAATGCATCGGTGAGGAGCCTGCATTTGCCACCGGCACTCTGTCAAGAGGCAGCCCGTGACGTTGAAGTCGAGCAAGAGACAGTGTTGGGCTTGGGCATGGCAAGGGCAAGGCTCATGAACACGGCCCTTTGGCCAGGCCGTTTGGGTGCCGAGGTGTCATGGCCATGGCATGGCTGGCAGTCTCGCTACGTAGCCGCTTTGCTGTCTCGACATTGTCGCCTCGCGATCCAACGTTGCTGTTGCTTTTGGGGCGTCAAGGTGTGGTCGGCCCATGCAATGAATGCCTGTACGGGCAAGGTCAATGCGTTGAATGCATCTCCAGTGCCGCTTCTTTCGTCCGATGTGCGCGTTGCCCTGTCTTTGGAGGGGCGTCCGCAGCACACTCCCCAGAGTTGAGATTCTGGAGCGTCGCCTCACTTAGATAATCCGGATTGAGTGGCTGCTGTCATCGCCGTGGCCAGAGAGTGAGCGTCGTCACCTGCGGCCGGATATCCAACCGCCTCCAAAGCCCGTCGCGGCCTCGCAGCAGGCCTTACCATGAAACTGCTGTTGACGACGCACGTCTGCTGTCCAAGTTGGCTGCCTCAAATGACGTGTTTTATTTTCGTCCGTAGATGCTTGTTTAGCGACGAGAAGTTGGGGAAAAAACCAGCGCTGTCGTTATCGTCTGGTTACTCCAGGGTGAGATGACTGCGAGTAAGAGAGCGACAGGGCACTAAAATCATCCATGGCTGGTCATTTTTAGTTGCAACATCCACACCTCAAGGAATTGACAGAAGTAGCTTCTACGGAGCAGGTAAGGCCACAACTACGGCTATTTTTGGTAATGCCTGCTATACTGGATTAATGCTGCTAGCTCAATGCTCCGTACTCGTAACTGCTACTACTAGCATGAGGTGCTATGGAGCAGCTGCAACTCCTTCTGCTAATCGTAACCAATTCTGCTTCTGTGGTGATCGCTCTTTGCCTGGCTTGTCAAGGTTTTCGACCATTCCTGGCCTTATACGAGCACACCCAGACGAAGTCAGTTTGTACCTAGCACTGGAGCTGGAATAACTTCAATCGTCCCCGTTCCATCTCTCAGCGAGCGCCCGCTGGTAGGCCTTTGATAGGCCGATGGCTGCCGATTCGACTCCGCCAGCCCAGCTGCCGCTCTCGTGCATCGGCCAGGCGTTGATTGTCGAGGTACCGGTACTTGTTCTGCTAGCCCGCCTGTGGCTTGCGCTGCACCTTTCGTATTCCAGCCACAGCTGCCATGGTCAGATTCGTCCATCCACATGTTTGTCTACCGACGCACAATCAGACGACGAATCCAAACCATGGCCCGTGAGACGCCTGCGCTGGGTAAGCTTGGCCGGCCGTCTATACTTCCGACGGCATGGTGAGGGAATCAGAGCACAGCAGCAGCGCTCATTGGCAATGCCGTCCCGCAAGCGGACCTCAAGGGGTCTTGGGCAGGCCAGAGATGCATCAACCCCCGCGTCGCGACATGGCCAGATTTGATGGCCCCCAATCTCAGAATCCAGAGACTCGAATTGGTAGCCAGTCAAGAGATGCAGACGCTGCAGGGTCCCAGAGTGCTGGAGCAAGAGCCGCCACCTCCTGCCTCTGGCGGATATCCGGAAACCCCCTTTCGCAATGGCAGACAGAGGCAAAAGCGATCGGGGGGACGCAGATGCGGCAAGGCCCCAAGTGCCGTGCTGTGCAAGCAGCGCTTGCAAGAGCCGTTTAAGAGAAGCTTTGTCACTTATCAATCTCCGAGCAGAGCAGGACGAAACGCGCAAACGAGGGCTCGCTAGCCAGCTTGGACCTACACAAAGCCTCTGCGCTCCTAGTCCATTTTGTGCCTTCGAGGCCGCGCTCGCACAGTTTCTTGAAAAAATTCGGTCGTCACCCATGATTGGCCAGATGCCATCGCCAAAGAGCCAATGAGGCTCTGTCTCATCGGCCTCTTTTGGCCACTCCACTCTGGCAACCACTGGCTCCCAAGGTCTCTGGCCAATCAGACGCCGTATGGGCACTTTTCAATCAACACACCTCAGCTCGCCGAAGCCACTAACACCATCCACATGGAGGCAACGCTCCTGGCCGGCGTGAGGATTCTCACACAGTCGACTCTCTGTCTGGCAACTATGGATATTCAGGGCCCCCCTTTGGGAGGGTCTTTTGAGATGTTCGACTCCTAGCCATGGCCCGCCGTCTCGGGACGCTCCGGGGGCCCCTTGGGACGGACTTGAAGGCCATTGCCCAACCACTGCCCGGGACTTACATGTCTGCAACGATTAGGACGGTTTCGATGCCACAGTATGCCTTCCCAGCCAGGGGAAACACCCGGCCCTAAGAGAGACGGACGACGGCTTTTCCCTAGATGGGATCCATCCTCAGCAAAAGGTCTCTGCCTTCTCCTGGCAGCTCACCAAGCAATCGGGGTGGCCAAGGGCACCCATGCGGAGTCCTCGAGACGATTCACGGGACTCGGACTGCTATCAAAATCCCTCGTCGACAAAGGAAGGATCAGGGCCGATCCCAAAGAGACGCCTTCTGCATGCGGGGACGCGACCAATACGCAGGTCACGGCGCCTACAATTCTCGTCGACTCTTTTTCTCTTTCACGGGCCACAGTAACATCTGAACCCACGACCACGGAAGCGAAGGTGGACTGCGACTGGTTTTGGCTCGCGCGCCGGCACATTCCAACCCGCCATGTCCGCACAATTCCGTCTTGCACTGTGGAAGTGGAGGAAGGGGAAAAAAAGACAGAAAAAAAGAGTCATGTCACTTAGGGCTTTGCCGTTGGGAGATTCGACTCCTCACTTACACCCAAGCAGGGTGCGCCGGCGCATGGCGCGCTGTTGGGCATGCAAGTCATTACAGCAGATGCAAAGTAAACAAGGGCTTCTTCTGCATCTCATTGACCAGACGACGAGATGAGACGGTCGATGGTAATTTCTCCCATTCGACATGCATTTCCTCGTTTGGTTTCAGCTCGCTGCTAGC